TTACATAGGTGATTATCCAAATTTTCGCCGTCGATGGGATTTGAACACCCAACCTACCACTTGGGGGGTTGACAACCGGTTTGTGATAATTTGAAAGCTTTATATGCTATATTTTAGATTGTTTTGTTAACAGACATTTTAAGCTAAAATGTTCTAATGTTTAAGTGACATAGAGGCAGTTAGAACAGTTATCTGATTCACTTTGGCTAATGTGAGTTAGTTGGTAACCAAGAGGAAGTGCTCTGTAAAACAATCACCAAAAGATGTTCTTTTTCTTGTTTAGAACATTTTTTAGCTTTATCCAGTTATAAACAGTAGAAATGTCTTTGTTCAAGTTTATATTTTTAGTATTTGCCTTTTTCAGCTCTTAGTTGATGTAAAAGCTTTTAAGAGTCTCTTTAAAGTTTTGTATTTCAATTTGGTCTAGTAACCAAGGCTATGTGCTGCTGGCTGTAATTTGCCCTTTAAAGTGGCCCCAGGCTACTATGTATAGTTTCTATCTGTCTGGCTATCCTTTGGTTTTGCATAGGCATTAGGATAGGATGTTTGTAATTAGAATATATCTTTTGCTTTGTAGACTTTGATATATTATTTTTCTTTTTGTCTTAGCCCAAAATGTGTTACTAGAAAAGAGCTTAATTAGAATAGAGATGAGTTTTATATTTGACAAGTCTTTTAAAATAGGGGCTGTTAAAAAATATCAAGACTCTCTCTTTCTTCACTCATGTTTAGTAGTAGAGAAAAAATAAAATAAAAACTATAAACCTTTATTAAAATCTATTAGAAACTATACTACAAGAGCTAAATCTCTTGTGCTAAAGAAAAGAAAGTATCTATGCACTAACATGCTACACTTCCCCTTTACTAAGTTATCTGAAATGCTTGTATCCTACAAGAAAATCAGAACTTCTAATATTTATGAAGAAGAAACTAGTTTAAGCTCAGGCCCTTCTAAGAGCTTATTAGAACAAACTAAAGTTCAAGTTTTAAATAGCCAAGAACCAAAAGCTTTATCAACACAAAAAGCACAAGAAGCATATATAGTAACAGACTTAAGCACTAAACAAAGAAAATACTAATCTTGAAAAAAATAATAATGCTTTGTTTACATCTGCTAACAACATGTATACAGAGATAACAAAACAAACCAAACACATGTCTCATAATAGCAACTCAGTCACATCTTAATCAGAAATTACAACTAACCAATCAAAACCAAAGCAATAGTCTGATCTTTTTTCTAAGTTAAAAAGAGAAAAAGCCACCTATTCTACATTTTTTCCTAGAAAAAGAATTTATACTAAAAATGAAAATGCTTTAATTTTTGAAACTCAAAATTTAGAAAACATATCTACAGCAGACATAGTTGAAGCAATAGCAAAAAAATTAGATGACAGTCTTATAGCAGTAAAACCAGTAGTTACCAAAGGCAGAAGAACTTATCTTTTCTGATGAGGACCAGCAACAGTACTATGCAACAGAAGAAATTTCAATCTTTAAGCAGTCCCTTTAGGGTTATATTCCTGTTAACATTAAACAAAGCTTTCTCTTAGTAAGAATTAGAAATACACCAATAGGTAAAAAAGATTTTATCTTTGAAAAAATCAAAGAAGCTTTTCAAGACATAAGCACAATCTCCTCTATCAAACCTCTAGTACACAAAGACATCTCAGTTCTTTCAAATCAATGAGTAGTTATTTTTGAGACTACAGATGACCCAGATTTAGCAAATAGAATTCCCAGATATACACATATTTGGGACCACAAAGTAGTTATGAACTGAAGAGAGGCTCCAAAGATATGCTACTTTTGTGACAAAGTTGGTCACATCAAAAAAGAATGCACCAAGTAAATAGCTTCAGTAGAACTTAGAGCTATGCAAAAAGCACACAGATTACAAAGATCTCAAAACAAAACTACCAAGCACCAAACCTTTGAGTTAGAAGACTTTAGTGCAGATAACCTCTATATTAAAAATAATAATAACTTAGATGCTA